CTCGCGGTCCAAAGAGCTGTCCAGCACCAGCGAATAGTAGTTCTTGAATGTGGATATGATCTTGAAGGGGACTTGGGGCGTTAGTGAGCAGGTCACCTGTCCGTTGGCACCAGAGTCTCGATCAGATACACTGATCAGCGCAATGACGGTGCTTGGCTGAGTGTCCTCTCGAACTGGTAGAGACAGGGAAGTCACAGTGACTTCAGGGGCATTATCATTGGCATCTAAGATTTCGACCCAGATTGTACAATGACCTGCCATTGGGGGATTCCCCTTATCTGTGGCCTGTACTTCAATTTCATAAAATTTGTTTTCTTCATAATCTAAAGTTCCATTGATTCTCACTTCTCCATTATTTTCATTTAATGTAAATAAGGGTTTTCCATTAGGCTTAATGGACATCAAGGAATATGTTACCTCCCCATTGACTCCTTCATCTCGGTCTGTGGCATTTAACTTTATCACAATAGTTTCTTTAGCTGTGTTTTCCATCAATCTCAGCTTGTATTCTGATTGTTCAAATTCCGGATCATTGTCGTTAATATCCAAGACGTGGACCAACAGCTGAATAGTGCCAGTGAGCTCCGGTTTCCCTTTATCTGCAGCTGTCAGTAGCAAATTAAGTTCTGGAGTTTCCTCTCTATCCAGAGACTTCTTTAATGTAAGTGACAGCCTTTTAGACTGCTTATTATTTGTTGGTAATTCTAAAGAAAAGTACTCATTTTGACTTAGTCTGTAGGTCAATTGAGCATTCTCTCCTATATCGGCATCAGAAGCTCCCTCTAGAGGAAACTTCGAGTCTGGTTGCTTAGATTCGGAAATCAGCAGCTTTTGTTCTCTGAGAGGGAACACAGGTGGATTATCATTAATATCCTTTACTTCTACCTCCACGTGGAACACCTGCAGCGGCCTGTCCACGATCACCTCCAGGTGGATGCTGCACTCCGCACTCCGCCCGCACAGCTCCTCCCGGTCGATCCGAGAATTCACAAACAAAATGCCATTCTGCAGATTTACCTCCAGAAGATCCCCGCGTCCCTTGGACGCCACACGGAACAGGCGCGGCACCAGCTCCACCAGCTCCAGCCCCAGGTCCTGCGCGATGCGGCCCACGAAGGTGCCGTGTTTGGCCTCCTCGGAGACGGAGTAGTAGACTTGGCCGCTCCCGGCTTCCCAGGCTGCGAGGAGCAGAAGCGACAGCAGCAGTCGCACAGTGCCCAATCCCCTTCTTTGAGACACGAACATTGCATACAACGTATACATTCCAAAACAGGATTCTTTATACTTACAGTGCCATAGACTCCAGTTTCGCATTTAAAATCTTCCTGAATTTTTGAGAAGTTTCAAAGGATCCTTTAACGGTAGCATCCGGCATGATGGAGTCGTTTTGTATGGGGAGTTCCTGGCTATTCAGACCAATCCTTGAATGAAGTATTTCCACCGAGTAAAGAGCGACACCTTGTGCCTGAAATTGTGAGTATTGTACACTTCACCCAACAATATTACTTGAAGAGAAAAAAATAATTTCACGTGTTTCATGTTATTTTATCTCCAAAATACTTCCAAAGTGCTTATTTATGGACCATTCAGATTTTAAGTCCTACTGAACCTGATGGTATGTGGGAAAATGGCATTTTATCATTGATTAACATCATAAAAAGTATGTTCTTATGTTTTAGAGTTGTACAATTGTGCTTTTACTTCTACTTATATACACAGAGAGAGATCAATTCTATAGGTGACCTTATGAAAAACTAGGGTTAAATATTTCCTCATATAAAAATACTATCAAATTTGAATTGTTTTACTTCTGGTTTCCATGGTTACTTCAGCTGCTAGGAAACTTAAAGACACTTAATAACAACTCTTTAGTCTTTAAGTTCTGCATATTCTGTTCTTATCTATGTATACTTGCTTCCTATTCATATTTTTATTCTTCTGATTCTTTATTGTTACTTACATTTAATTGTATTCTTGTTACAAGCAACTTTATATCCATAGAAGAACAATAAGAAAAGCAAATATATATTTCAAATTTGGTAGTTTACAATAGAGTTTATAAGGGGAAAAGCTTATTGATGATGGATGAAAGTTTTATTTGGCATACATGACTTCTCATGTAAGTTGCATTGCTAACAGTATAATATGAGGTGGTATCAAAATGGCCATTATGTAATGGTGTCATTATATGAAAGAAGTAGTCTTTCAACTATAGAATGAATTTTATTACCATTCAATGAAATAAAAATCACCTTGAAAATGTCTGTGCCATACTGGTATTTCCACTCACCAGTACTGGCTTTTATATATCCGTCAAGGTATATTCATGAAAATAGCTGACCTATTTCTTCTTAAATGAATTTTGGGTTTGAGATTATAAGCTCACCCAAAACAAGGGCAATGATTTCTAATCACATCTCTTCTAAGTGCCTAATATTGTGCTTAAAAAATTAGAAAATAATCAAACAATTCAACACATGCTGAATGACCGTAGTGTTTATGGAAATTCAATTTCATGAAATACCAACTAGAAAATTGGAATTGTTGATGTGAGTTTCATTGCCCGAAGCTGTAATTTAGTTACCTGTCCTTTGTCTTTTCATATTACCTTGAGATTTAAGAAGGAAAAAGGAAGATAACAGTGGAAGTTTAGGATAGAAAGTGATTCAGAATAAATATTGTTCTCACTTGAGGATTTTGTTGTACGGTTTTGATGGCTCAAGTCCAGTCCAAAAGTATTACAATAACATGAAAAATTACTAGTATATATTTGTATGTTAGTATTTTTCTTTATCTTGAACACACATGTATTCTATTGCTAACTTCAAATCTTGCTTCATTTTTTCAAATTTGCCCTTTTCCCAATATTATTATTCTGCTAGAACTTTTAAAGTAAATTTAAAATTCTTTCTTAGAAAACTAATAAAACAGACACATTACCTTTTATGACACTGAATTCTGTTATGCCTGTAAAAGCAAACAATCATATAGGCCTCTAATCAAAATATAACATTAGGCTAGCTAACAGTAGATTTAACACGATATTTGAAGCCTATTGGGTTTATTTTGTAGAAGAAAGAAGCAACAAACCTCCAGTCACTTCATTATGGAAACTGGGGATTGAGATGTTACATGCAGTGTGGAGTCTTTAAAGGTAAAGAAATGAACATGAGAAAGTTTACCCAAGGGAGATGATGACATTACATGCCTCAATTAAAACCAGATGTTAACTTAGGAATTAATTTCCAGTACTGTGGTATTTTCCAAGTATGTGAAGTGATACTGGATGAACACCAAGTCATCAAGTCATAAAAGAGTTTGACATATTGTATGAATTAATGACACCTTTTTTGCATTTTGGCTGCAATATTTCTGATATCACCATCTCAATTGGCCCCTATAGAAGAGATTATGACATCTTTGAAGTCACCATTGGGGATGGGCCTGAATCTGGCAATAGACTAATGCCAAGTAGTCACATTGATACAATTGTATCAATACAAATCAATCGATACATTGATTTTGTAAGATTGATTGAAAATACTAAGGAACTTTGTGCCTGACCATTACTAAATCAATTTGGCTAGTCTTAAATTCCAGCTATATACCTTGCTAGTTATGTATCAGAGTGCTTGGTTTAATGTTCTACTATTCCTATCACCATTAATATTCCCTAATAGGTCTAGTACTACAATTTATTGAAAACACAAAACAGAGAAATAGATCTTGAAGCCATTTCTGGAAAGCCAGTATGTTCTTTGAAATTAATAGATTAGAAGTAGTATCCAACATTGCATCTCCAAAATTATAGAATATATGCAGTGATGGTCACTCTGTGGTTTCTTGACTTATTTCAACTACATACAGTTATTTGCTCATTTTTTCAATGGGCAGAGATCTCTCGTACAACAATAAAACTGAAGAAGACTGAATCCTTCTTCAGTCACACACATTCAAAATTTTTCATGGGATATGTACCTTCAAACCTTATACCTTATCAAAGTATGCAATTTTGGAAACAATTAGTGATCTTTTGTTGGTGTTCAGGATCCAAGAAATAATCATATTACTACTTATATTTGTCCAAAACATTATTCTGATTCACAATGTTAAAAGGACAAAGTCATTTTTGTATGTATCATTCGGCTTTGGTGTCCTGCAAGGTCAGTGCAGACCAGTCTTCTGATTTTCCTCATTATTAAATAATTCTACTTATTTATATCACTTCCAAACAACTAATAAATAATTCTTATAAGACAACTCTTAATTAGTTACTAATCAAATAATGTAAATACCTATTTCAATGTGATGTTAACTAGGACAAGTGATAATGACGATCACAAACCTTCTGAGAAAAGAAAATCACCTAACAACACAAAAAATCTTAATTCCTACCCTAAATATAGTATTGTACAAAGATAATCATGAAGGTTTTTTCCTAAAGATAACAAAAAGGAGGACTCACTTGTATACAGCTTGTGCTTGATTTGCCTAGCCAGAACTATGCCTGATCAGAGAAAAGATGTACTCTATAGAGTTCTACAGGGAATAAAAGAATGGCTGTCAAATCTCAAAGGTATGCATTTGAATATCATCTCTATCCTGTAGTAGCTAAATGGCAGTAGATAAGATAGATAAACATCTTACCACTCTTATCTTTAAATTTTGGATAGTCATGTACTTGACAAGTTGTTATAGGGGTTAAGTAAAATTATGCATTTTAAGATCTTCACATCATGTCTTACAGATAGAACTATCTCAAATAGCGGTGGTTGATTATAGTTAGTGACCAATATTTGCTCTTGTTCTATTCTCGAGCTATGGATGAAGAGAATTCCAGTACCAAAAACTAGGGTATGGTCTTTCCTTTTCTGAAGATTTCCTAACCTTCATGGAAATCTTCATGGAAATCATCCTACTTTCTTGGTAGAAAATAGCCACTAAGACCTTTTCAGCATTTCTATTGACTTTACCCTATCTATACCACAGTTCTCATCCCCAGTGTAAGTCTATCATATACAATTTATTTCTCCACACAATACAATTAAAGAATCACTAATTTGTACATTAGACCTAAAAAGAACAAAGTAAGTTCTCTGTGATCTCTTTAGAGGAAACAATCCACATGAATACAACATTGGGACAAAAAAGTGTTTGCATCAAATGTATCTAAAGTTAAAAAAATTTAAGTACACGATGTTAAATTCTGAAATGTGATGAAAAGCAACATTGTCAAGTGAAAGGACATTTATAGATATTCCATGGTTGTTATACATACATTATTTAAAGCAATATCATTCTGAGGACCAAGCAGCTTGGTGAACAAAGGCAGATGTATCACAATTCCTCATATATGGAAAGACAATTTTTAAACTCAAAGCACAAAGAAGTGTGAATTTTTCTACTTTAAATGTTTCCATATAGCGTCATGACAAGTACCATGAATGCAAGAAATATGCATATGACCAATGCTCAAATAAATCTTCCAAATGAAATAGAAGAGTGTAGCTAATTAATGTGGAGGACAGCAGCAATGAGGTCAGTGGGCAATTAGCAAAATCATCGTTATAATAGAAATTTTTTAAAAGTTGTCTATCTGAAGTAGTTGAAGACTATGAAGAAAATGAGTTTAAATACGAGGGGGTTAAAAACCAAAAAACGTAAAACCATCTCCAAAGGAAAGGCTAAAATTCTCTCCACTATCACCAAGAAGCATGCCATTGATTATAAAGAAACAAAGTCATTTATAAAATAAGGCCACCTCAATAGCTCATGCCCATCAGTAATATACAAACTTACAGATTATAGGAAGATAAGAATTTAAACATATTAAACTCAAATTAATGAAATTATGGAATTATGCATCGTTACGGTAATTTTGAATGCATAAACATAAAGAGTAGAGGACACCAATTAGAATAAGAAAATGAATAGGAAGAATGAATTGCTGCAAAACAGGGAAGTAGATTTGAACCTTACCCACATCCTCCATTTCCCATCAGTGATCCTTGTGTCCTTCCTGGCTGACTTAGTCTTCCTCATTTATAGGAAGCTTTGGCCATCTATTTCATTATTATTATTCCTACCAACTATATAATATTCCCCGTGTGTTCCAGAAGTCTGTGGTGAAAAGTAATAAAATGGCTAGACTTCCACAGTGCTTTAGAATAAACCATCAGAAGCCAAAGACAAAATTAAAAAAAAAGAAATTGAAGCAATGGACTTATAGTAATTTGGTGGTGAAGTACTATGTGATTGACATTAATAGGCAAGATATCCCAGAATTACTGTACTTACTTTCTCGCAAAACTCCTGTTGGTCCCCAGAATCTCCAGAACTCGAACCAGGAGGAACGCTAGGACTGAAGGCTATGAGGTCGGTTTTCGGGCGGT